GCCCGCAGGAGCCTGCGCGCTCCTTAAAGGGTGCACGGCTCCTGTGGGCTTTTGTGGGAGGTGGAGGAATTGCCATAGCCGTGCGCAGCCTCTCCCAGCCGGAGAGGTTGTGAGCGGCTAAAGAGGAATCCAGAACAGCGAGCGGGATCCCGCTGGCTTTGCTCTTTGGGGTTGGGGGGAGGAACCTGGGCTTTCCCCGGCAGCCCCGGGAAGCTCTGGGAGAAGTGGACATAATATTTTTTTCCCTTGATTTCCCCCTCTAAAAACTAGGTGTGCCTTATGGACAGGTGCACCTTATGGAGCAAAAAATACGGTAAATGAATTATTTAAGAAATGTAGGATATTTGGCTTTATAGAACAAAGATCTGAAATTGAATTAAGACTGTTAGAAGGTAAAGAAAAGCTGATTTTGAAAATGTATAAAATGTTATTAGAATGGGAAATGAAAGATGAACTGGTTAAGTCAGCAATTATACATCAGGCTAAAGATTTGGGGCATAATATTGATATGGCTGCCTGGGAAAAGTTGTGGGAAGTAGATATGGAGTTCACTGCCTGTTATACATTCAAGGGAAATTATTTGAAAATGATATACAGGTGGTATTTAACACCTAATACACTGACCAAGATGTATAAGACTTTTATCAAGTAAATGCTGAAGAGTCATTTTTTCATATGTGGTGGACTTGTAAAAAAGCAACAGGCTTTGGGGAATTGAAGAAGATGTTTAAAATAGTTATTCACAAAAGGTCTGAAGCATTTCTTTTGGGAATAATAGGAGCAGAGGTCCCTCCCCCCAAAAAAAATCTGGGTAAACTGTTTATGTATAATGAGGGTGAAAAAGGAGAGCACAAAATATGGTCTGAAGCTCAACATCAAAAAAACGAAGATCATGGCCACTGGTCCCATCACCTCCTGACAAATAGAAGGGGAAGAAATGGAGGCAGTGAGAGATTTTACTTTCTTGGGCTCCATGATCACTGCAGATGGTGACAGCAGTCACGAAATTAAAAGACGCCTGCTTCTTGGGAGAAAAGCAATGGCAAACCTAGACAGCATCTTAAAAAGCAGAGACATCACCTTGCCAACAAAGGTCCGTATAGTTAAAACTATGGTTTTCCCAGTAGTGATGTATGGAAGTGAGAGCTGGACCATAAAGAAGGCTGATCACCGAAGAATTGATGCTTTTGAATTATGGTGCTGGAGGAGACTCTTGAGAGTCCCATGGACTGCAAGAAGATCAAACTTATCCATTCTTAAGGAAATCAGCGCTGAGTGCTTACTGGAAGGACAGATCCTGAAGCTGAGGCTCCAATACTTTGGCCACCTCACGAGAAGAGAAGACTCTCTGGAAAAGACTCTGATGTTGGGGAAAATTGAGGGCACAAGAAGAAGGGGATGACAGAGGACAAGATGGTTGGACAGGGTTCTCAAAGCTACCAGCATGCGTTTGACCAAACTGCGGGAGGCAGTGGAAGACAGGAATGCCTGGCGTGCTCTGGTCCATGGGGTCACGAAGAGTCGGACACGACTAAATGACTAAACAACAACAACAAAAATGCTACCACCGCAGCCAGAATTCTGTATGTGTGGAAATGGAAAGAAGAAGTTCCAACACAAGAGGAATGGACTTTAAAACTATTGGACTATGTGGAGATGGCAAAATTGAGAGCAAAAATAAGAGACCAAAGAGACAAACTGCTTGTGGAAGAATGGAGACCCTTCTCAGACTATTTTAGAAAATACTATAGTCAAATGAAATCATAGGCAGGACATGAAATACAGTGGTACCTCAGTTGTCGAACGTAATCTGTTCCGGAAAACCGTTCGACTTCCGAAACATTCAACAACCAATACGCAATGGGCGGTTGGCAAATTCCATTGAGAAAATGGAGAAACGCGCCTCAGAAGCCATTCAACTTCTGAGGCGCGTTCGAAAATAGAAGCATTCACTTTCGTGTTTTTGTCGTTCGGGTTCTGAATCGTTCAGCTTCCGAGACACTCAAAAAACCAAGGTTCCACTGAATAAGCAAAGGAATGAGAACGATAAAGGAATGTAATGTAAGATATATGTTTTTGGGGGGGGAGTATTGCATTTAAGACAGTCTTTTTGTTAAGCTAATGGCCCTAGACAAGCCTGTTAAGACTCTTTTTTACATAACAAAAAGAGTTGTCCAAGTGTGCTGCCATAGAAACAACAATCTTAGTGTCACTTCCAGAAAATGAGGCAGCCTTAACTCCCTCACCTGGCAGTAGACCAAGGTATACGAGATGTAAGAGAACAACAGGCCAAGGACCAGTCTTGTCTGCTCTGGGAAGACATAGCTGGGAAGACGTAAAGGCCTGACTTGCTCTCTGTGCTGAAACAAAAGCCATGGCTTTTGCCTCTCCTCCTAGAAACCCAATCGGAGAGCAAGATTTGTTGGAATGTTAATGCTGTGAGATCTTCCAACTTATACTCAAGCCTGGATGTATGTGTAAGTAAAAGCATGTGTTACAATCTCTGGTCCCCTTTATTCCAAGGAAACCAAATGCGAGGAATGTGCTGGCACCCCTGAATTTTCTCACTGCTCAGAGACTGGGGCACACACAGCAGCGAATATTATTTTAAGAGAGAGGACCTAGCGCTTTGCTGCTGTGTCAGAAATGGACAGAAGCCAAACTGCAAATACCACGTAACGTGAATTCTTGTTGCCTTCCTCAAGGCATAGAAATGAAAACGTCAGGTCACAAAGGGTTTGCTAGATCCTGCTGCCACATTATATACTAAACAAACACAAGGCACTGAGGTTAAGGACAACAACTGGTCCGTGGAAAATCATTAATCAGAAACAAGGTTGCTGCTGTCCTTAGCTACCCTGGCAATGAATCACTGGAGGCTGTTGACTGAACGTGACCCCGTCTATTCAGTGTGTTGGAGTGGATTAACAGCTGCCTTCTTATCCATTTTATATTATCATAACGATTATAGCCATATTTGCCTTCTGTTATGTATGCCTCCTGCTGTCTGTTGCATTTCACTGTCATGTGCAGTGTGTTCCTAAACAGATATATCGGATTTATTTTCCTTTCAGTTGCAGACACTTATTTCTTGAGATAGGTATTTGACTGCCAACTGGCTGTTGTGGCTAGGTCTTCTGAGGATTGATATTGTACTTACTTTCTTATTCTTCATGTGCTTTTAAATAGTTTTAAGTTTTTTTCTAGTGCTGTCTTTAAAATGGTTACTTATTTAATTGTGCTTTTCCAAATATTTCTATTGATTCTGTGTTTGTAGCTGGATTTGTTTTAATTCATGCTGTGAGCCACCTTGTGTCCTGTACTAAGAGAAAGGTGGGGCACAGAGTTGGAAGGGACCATGAGGGTCACCTAGTCTAACCCCCTACACTGCAATAATTTTTTGCCCAACATGGGGCTCAAACCCACAACCCTGAGATTAAGAGTCTAATGCTCTACCGACTGAGCTCTTTCAGCAGCCAAATAAAATAAAATAAATGATATATACATATGTCTATATCTATGAAGTAAACCCCATTGTGTTCAGTGGGACTTACAGGTTGGTGAGTATAGCATTGGCAGTTTAAGTCCCAATAGTTTTTTTTAATGTTCACGTTTACTCATTTATATTGCACATGCCTACTGAGGATAACACTTCACGCACTGAACAAAATGGGATCAAGTCAACGAAAGCTCAACAACTTTGCGGGTGTCAGGAATTTTACTTTTTGAAATATGGCAACCCTACTCGTGCCTAATTCTCCACGGTGGTGCCTGGTTTGGGAATGATCTCCCCATGGAGATCAGGTGGGTCCCAATTATGGCTTGTTTCCACTGACAACTGAAAGCATACCTGTTTATTCAGGTATTTGCCAGACTTTTAATACCACTCCTACTATTTGATGCTTTTACTCGGGGTAGGGAAACCCTGGGTCTTGGGCCAATCTTGGCCTGCCAGAGGATCCAGTTTGGCTCATGAGGCCATTTCCTCAAACCACGCTCACCTGCCCATCAGCTGATGTCACTGGTGACATCAGCTGATTGGCGGAACTACGGATTTTAATCCTGCCCTGGCTATGTGCCTTGTTCTCAGGAGGGAACAGGTTTGCACAGCCAAGCGGCAGGATTTAATTTCTGCTAATCTGCTTTAATTCATCAGTGTGTGTGACTAACCGCTTTAGAATAATGTAGTACATAAAATCTACCAAAACCAATAATTAAGATCCAAGAAAAGAACCATATCCAAAACCACTCAATTTTAAGCATGGTTTTAGTAAGTTGGCAGCCCTAATAAGCAAGAGCACTCTGTCCAATTTTTGTATTTGGTAGTATGCTATGCTTGTTAGTGGCATTCATGTTTGTGATATTCTTTCTTACATACGATGCTTTTTAAAGTACTGTATTCATCAACCCTCTCAAATTCCATGCTACCCTTTCACGATTAATAAAGCTGTGTTTGTAACCCAGTGAGTTTAATGTTTGCATGAAGATATTCAACCTGGGTGGACACTGGGGTCTGTGGCCAACCAAGTTAACAGGGGGCATTGTTTTCTGATTTTCCTCCCGTCCTCCTCCCTTGCAAAGATACTGTGTACATTTAAACACCGGAGCCTCTTGCTCTTCTAGCCAGGTTGCAGACATGGAAGAAAGAATACGTGGTTTTAAATGTGTGTGTATGTGAAAGTTCAAATTTTTTATATCTAAAACGCTCTCCACAGCCATCCAAAGCGATTTGGAGAACCACTGCCCTGATTTAGAAAACCACTGCCCTGATTTGGATCTTTGACAATTCCACCCGCCCCCGCGTCTTTCAATCAACTTGCGCCAAGCGCGGGGAAGGCGGGCCTTCACCCGCAAGGCCCGATGGGAATCGAAGTCCCAGTCGCTCGCTTTCTTCCGTGCGCCGCCAGGGATCTCACCTCTACGTTAAAACCACACTTCCCATGATGCCTTCGCTGTTGAGTCCGGAGAAAAGAGAGAGACAGCCATGTCCGGGTGATGGGAGGCTGAGCTCCCTCCCTCCTTCTCCCGGCTCTTTTTTTTTTTTTTTGCGGCTGCCGGGGGTGTTTTCAGGGAGGGGGAGAAACCACTCTGCGGCTGGTGGAGGGGGGCGACCGTGTTGGCGCCCTTCCTCCCCCCGCGGAAGGAGCGATGGAGCTGCCGCCTCTCAGCCTCGGGGCCGGGAGGAAATAGCGCTCTGCCCACTCTCAGCTGCACGTCTCCCTTTCGGGACCACCGGTGCCGCCGCTCCTCTTGCTTTCTTAACGCCGCAAAGCCCTGGGAGCCCCTTCCCCTGACTAATTTTTAATCCGTGTAGTTTGGGCTTCATTTATTTCCCCTGTTCCACCCTTCGAGCTCCGGGTCTCCTGGAACCCTCGTCCTGCGGAACTCCCTGCCTCTTGATTGCCAGCGCGAAGCCCTCGGGAAAGGGGGCAGGCGCGCTCCAGTCCGTCCGTTTGCTTGTGGCGGTGGATTCCCCACTCCTGGCGGGCAGCGATGTTGCTGTCGCCTCTCTCCTCGTCGTCGTCTTTCCCGCAGTTAACCCAAGGGAACCGTAAAAAGCAAAGCCCCAGCTCTTAGTTGCGAAAATGTGGCAAAGCATTGGCCTGTCCTTGTTGGTCGTCGTGGCCGCCCTCGCTTGCTTTCTGCTCCTGGTGCTCTGCGGTGAGTACTTTCTATTGATCTATCTTCCAGTAACCAGAAGTGTCTTGCCTTTCTCCTCTCTCTCCGTTCCCTTTCCTGTGGTGGAAAGAAGAGAAAGGTGCAATAGCATGAAACAATTCTGATTTTCCCAGCCTTTCTTTGTCCGCTTTGATTTTGGGAAGGATGCTAAATTATCATGCTCATTGTGGTCCAGCTAGAAAACCACAAGTGCTGCAAAAAGGGGAGATGTGGGTTCAAATTCCCACCCAGCCAGGAAGGTCGCTGGGTGATCTTTGGGCCAGCCATTGACCCTCATCCTTACCTACCTCACAGGGTGGTTGTTCTAATAATAAAACAGAAGGAGAGAACAGCATATGATTTCTTGAGCTCCTTAGAATAAAGGCAGGATATAAATATAAGTGATAGACATAAAAATAAACAAGCCACACTCTTATTAGGGGTGAATAGTCAGACAAGAGGCCCTTAAACGGATTCACGTTAAACCTGTTGTTCTAATTGTGTGGGTGTGTTAGGACACACACACACCCTGGATTTGTGGTGAAGCAGCTGAGTGGAGGTAAAGAATATGGTCACCTTTCCCTTTTTTACTCAAGAAAAGATGAAAACCTAATCGCTTACTAAAAACATAATTCCAACTGAGATTGTAAGATGTCACCAGAGTTGATTATCTAGATTTCTTTTCAAAAGACCAAACTGATAAAAAGGACTTTGGTGGCGTGGAAGTTTGCTAGATGGAGTCTATCTTGGTGTCCAGGCAGTAGCTTATAGTCCCAAAACAGCAGCAATAAAGAATCATCCTCCAGCTTCCAAAAATAGCCAGGAATGAAGTTAAGAAGAGTCTGTGTTATCTGAATGACAGTGTGTAGTTATTTAACCCTTAAGAGCTTTGGACTTGAATGGAAGCAGTTGGTGGTTTTTAAGACAGCCGCAGGTGCTGTGATAGCTGGCATCCATTTATTTTTGCCCTGTTTTATCTCTGATCATACAGGTTTTGCAACTGGCCAAAGCACAGAAAGAAAATTGCCTGGCGGGGGTGATAGTGGGATGAGCATGGGCACAGTTGCTGGCACCTCTGGTTAAAAGGATCAGGTAGCAGGTAATGCGGGAAGCTGCTGTCCTGCTGTACTACACATTTAAAGCAATATTATACCACCTTAAGTAGCCATGACTTCTCCCAGTGAATCCTGGGAGCTGTAGTTCCTTAAGGTTGCTAGAGAGTTGTTAGGAGACCCCGTTCTTCCCATGGAATTCTGGGAATTGTTGCACTTAGAGGCCTCCTAAGAATTCCCAGCACCCTTAATAAACTACACTTCCCAGTATTCTTTGGGAGAAGCCGTGGCTGTTTAAGGTGGTATGGTGCTGCTTTAAATGGATAGTGTGGATGGGGCCCTCGGGGTTAGACAGTCCTTGGCTAGATGGACAGCCTGATCTGGTATAAGGCAGCTCTTCATAAAAATGAAAGGAATGTTGAACCAATTGCTGAACCACAAAGCTTAGAGGGGTGTCACATTCTGCAGTCCCTAAGGACTCAGTGAGTGTCGCGTAAGCTCGTCATGAGCCTATTGTCGGGGTTCAGTCCTGCCCAGCTGAAATCTGAGGTCTCCTAAAAGGAGGAGAAAGGGGAGCAGCGCCCCAGCAGATTGCCACGCTGCCAGCAAAGAGCCATTTGATCTGGGCATTCATTGCTGAACCAACAGCTTTCTCGCAGCTCCAAGCTCCTCGATCCAGAAATATGGATCCTTCACAAACCCCTAGGCATCACTGCTCCCTTCCCACTGCCTTATCGCTGGTGATGGTATGTGACAATGACAGAAGTTAGTGAACCCTGCAGGGTTTTTACATTTGCAATGAAGCCACAACACCTGGTGCATTAAAATAAGACACTTGCAAGATTTTGGCTTGTATGACTAAATTGCCGTAAATGTTTTTGTTTCAATACCCAGGTGGGTCGAATTGAAAGCACTTTTTCGTAGAACAAAATGTACAGCTGTAGATGTTACATATGCAGCGTTTTTTTGAAATGGAGGCATGGTTTATAAAATTGGGGGGAAGGCAAATAAGTGGCTGAAAAAGCTGTGCATGTTTTGACTTCCAAGACACTTAAGGGGTGATATGATAGCAGTTGGAGCTGGACCCTTATCATTAGACAGAATGACATGGCTGCCTCTGGTGCATTGAAGGATGCTATCCTGTAGCTATTGTTAAGTAAGTGTCCAGATGGCTTTATATGGAACGGGAAAGGGGTTCCCTTCTTGACAGGAGATTCCCCACCACATTCCGATACTCTCACAATTCATGGAGGCACACAGCTTGTGTACAAACACCTGTTAAATAACTGTATTTGCATGCAACTTACATGCATTTATTTGTGCGCATTCAGCTTTACATACATGGGGATATAAATAAATAATAAAGGGGGCGAGGTTCCAGGAAAAATGACTTTGGCAATCCCACTTACCATTGAAGCCGAGGGGTTTTGACCATACACAATTTTGGCTTTAGGTGCGATCCCCAGAAAGTAACCCCCACGTAAGTTGCAAGATTCCTCTCCCAACAAGAGTTGGGTAGAAAATTGCCAAGTGCAGCTTTTGCAACAACAGTAGTACACAAGTGATAGATGAAATTTTCTCCTTTTATGCAAATCCTAGACCTTTTAGAGTTGCTTCAAAAAAAGCATTTTGAACATGGCATCAAGTTTGGGGGAAAATCTATATTGCTAATACAAGAAACTGGAAATCTTTTCAAATTTTCACCTAGTATAGTATGTATTATGCATGGAATGTAATTTCCTGACCTTTTCTGTATTCACTGAAGGCCTTCACTGATGGCAAACAAAAGCTTGTGGACATTGGGAAATTTAAATTTAAATTCATGTTGCTAAAGAATATGGGCAGGGAGCAGAATGTCTTGGGCTGGAACTGGGAGCGGCCTTCAAATATCTGAAAGGCTGCCACACACAGAAGATGGCTTGTTCCCTGTTCCTCCACAGGGCAGGGCTAGAACCAGTGGGTGGATGTTACAGGGTAACTGATCTTGGCCAAACATTAGGTGTAACTACCTAGTCAAGTCAAGTAACCTTTAATGGCATCACATAAGAACATTCAGAATACATTCAGAATAGATAGGCCAGTGCGATATCAGCACACACACACCCCAACGGCACAGTCACCCGCCAAAGGGCAGAAGAGGCGAGCAACCCACCTCATCTCTGTGGGTTTCCAGCAAGGGCAGGATCCTGTAGCATACTTTGGCGACAAAAAAAATCAAATAGAGGAACTTAGCTACTGTCTTGGTGAGTCCTGGTCTCTCCCCTGTAATAAGAAGCGCAGAACCTCCGTCTCTGGTTTCCATGTTGGAATACATAGATGGTCTAGAAATTGTTGGCGGAGATCATCATACATTTTACATTTAAGGGCCATGTGGGCTAGAGTTTCCACCAGGCAGTAACTACCTATTGGCAAGAGCTGTTTGCCAATGGAACGGCCTGCCCTGAGAGGTGGTGGGGGCATCGCTCCTCCTGCAAGGTTCTTCCCAGATCTTTGATTCTAGGAATAGAACACAGACTTGTCAAGGGAGTTGTGTTTTATGGCACTTGCCCTCAGCTCCTTGTGTTGCTCTGGTCCTGCTGTGACTGAGATGGATACAGCTGTTTATCCTCAGATGCTGAGATGAGGTGTTCTGGCCCCTGTAGGAATTTGGCAGATGCTTTTAAAAGCTGCTGGGTTTTGTTTACTTTTGCTTTGCTGCTTTTCCAGGTGACTTGCTCAAGCTTCACTCTTTCAGCATTTGAGTGTTGGGTAAAAGGGGCTTCTTTCCACCAAACCACCAAAGGCTTTGAACATTAGATGGTGTCTTGTGACAATATAGTATTTGCTTCCTGCAGACAAGTGATCTGTGGCATTATTTTTTTATTTTTTTTAAACATAACAACCAGGAGGTGTAACTGGATAGGGGAAAACAAGGGATTGTAAAACCACAAAAATTGATGTGAGCATGTAGCCGGCAGGTGCAGGAGCACCTGAAAGCCTTTAACAACCAGCCTCCTGTATACCTGAAGGAGCATCTCCACCCCCATCGTTTAGCCCGGACACTGAGATCCAGCGCCGAGCGCCTTCTGGCGGTTCCCTCATTGCGAGAAGTGAGGTTACAGGGAACCAGGGAACCAGGGCCTTCTCGGTAGTGGCGCCCACCCTGTGGAACACCCTCCCTTCAGATGTGAAGGAAATAAGCAGCTATCCTATATTTAAAAGACATCTGAAGGCAGCCCTGTTTAGGGAAGTTTTTAATATTTAATGCTGTACTGTTTTTAACATTTGATTGGGAGCCGCCCAGAGTGGCTGGGGAAATAATTTATGAATAATAAATTATTATTATTATTATTATTATTATTATTATTATTATTCAAGGTTGCTCGCTTTTACTGTCGCTATGTTTGCTTTTGCAGTGTGGCTGTCCTTTTTGACAATCTGCCTTTCAGTTTCTTTCATCATTGACTTGAAATCTCTGGATTTTACAGTCTGGATTTATATAACTTTCTGGTCTCCCTGGCCCTAGTTTGACTCTCTAACCACTACACCACTCTGATTCTCAACAGTTAGATAGGTTGTCTTGCCTTTCCTCCAGGGAGCTGAAGGCAGCACACATGTTCCCATCTCTGCATTTTATCCTTACAACAGTCCTCTGAACAGGGCTCCCCCCAGGGGAACTTACAGGAACTCAGTTCCGGCACCTCTCAGTTGGGTGCCATTGCTATTATAAGAGAACAAAGGAGTTGTTCACAGTGATTTCCGGCACCTCCATTTCTAGGAAAATAGCACTGCCTCTGAAGTTTTATCATCCTACTGGCACTTGGAGACATATCAGTGTAGACAAGCATGCCCCCGATCTCTGGACTCCAACCTCCTGCTTTAATTGTTATTCCATTTTAACAGGCTTGTTTTATTGTGCATTTTAAATCTGCAGGTTTAAAATGTTTATTAAAATATTGCACATTTAAAATGTTTGATGTTTTGATGGAACTGTGTGTATTTATTATGTATTTTCAATTAAAACATGTTAATATTTTGTAATTGTCTTTTATATTTGCAAACTGCTTAGAAGCTACTTTGCTGATTAAGCAGTATATAAAACAATAATGGTTATGGTTATGGTGATGATGTTGATGATGTGTGGAGTGGGGACTTGAACCTCGATCTTCACTGTCACAGCCCTACAGTCTAGCAGCTACATCACACTGGCACTTAAGCTTTCTGTGTGTGCCAAAGGTAACATAAACATCTACACATACAACATCTATTATGTATGGGGCAATGTGTATGTATGTGTGTGTTTAGTTGCCCTGGCACAGCCTCTTCTTGTTTTTTTATGTAGATGTTCACAACATCAACTTTTTTTTCCCTTTCCTGGCACCTTCTGTAGGTTGGTACGTTGTCTGGCACCTCTTCCTATCGCAGTTCCGGTTCTTACGAGAGCTGATAGGAGACACAGGATCTCAACAAGGGGATAATGCCGTGGTTGAGCCCGAAGCAGACCAGGATGTGCCAGCTGCTCCCCAGAGGAGATCTGCCCGGCAGCGAAGGGCGCCTGCTGAAGAAGCAACTTAATTGGAGCTTCCTGGGCAATCCTCAAGAGATGGGCAGCCGGTGACTCTTCCGTGGCTTAGTAGTTTGGTGCTGCTGATATGCCGAATGGGGACAGCCAAGTATTTGTGAATTCCTTTACTCCTGGAATTTAACTATGCACTGCTTCGGAAGAGGTTCCGGCGAGATTTTAATGGAGAGCAAGATAGGACCGAAGAGAAACAGGGAGAGCGGAGCAGAAATGGCTCCTCCCTGCTTGGGAGAAGAGTCGGCAGGGAGTGCCACTCCTGGATCTGTTCCTCAGTGGTTAGGCCCAGTGTGAATCTGTGGATGAGCTTCCCAAAGCTGAAAATGGTTACTGACTGCTTTTGTGTAGGACTGCAACTCATCGCAGGTGGCATCTCTTGCGATCCTTCATTTCTACGTCTTGCAAAGAGGAAGCGTGTCTTTACTTGAGCCTTATCCACTTACACAAGGGTGTTCTGATTTGGTCAATGACCTAAAAAGCGTGCCTCTGTCCATGGGCTAAATTCGCTGTTAGGCTCATGCGGAGGCTTTGACAACTGACTTAAACATAAGTAGGCAATGAAACACAGCATTTTAGTTTCAATGCACAGCAGTTCCTTGCTCTGCTCTGCTTTTATTCTTAAGAGCTCATCAGGCTTGTGCACAAGTGTGTATGTGTCGTCAAATCCTTTCTTATTTCCATAATAGAGAGAGGACAGGAGTATCTGTTACAAACCTTTCATGGAATATCTTTTTTTTTTAAAGGCACTAACTAATTGGTTTGAAGTAAGCTGCTTCTTTTTTTTTGCATCCTTTGCACCAAAAATCAGTTGAAACGACTTACAGACAAACCTCGGGGGGGGGGGGGCAGCTTTTTAACCATAGTCTCGCCCTATTGCTAAATTGTATGACTGGGACCTTTGCATCTTTTGTTCCTCAAACAAATGATCGGTTTAGCAAATGCTTCTGCTTTGCCTTCGGGCAAAGGGAGCCCCCCACTTGATTGACACTGCTTTCAGTATTGCTAAACACATAAAACTAGCACCTGTAACTGTAGTAGAAGATCACTGATACTGACCTTGAACCAGTGGTAGGTAAGAGATGATGATGCCCCCCCCCCCCCAGGATGCTCACGGCTGACTTTTCCTTCAAGTCCAGGATGTGTCTTGTTGAGTTGTGTTGACTTTCTTCTTGTTCAACTCCTTGCAGTTTTGCTCATCAGTGACTACGGAAAAGTGTCTTAATGCTTGATAGCAGCTGAAATCAAGCCCTCCTGAAGACTCTTATCTATAGACTCCTCGTTTTGAACAGCAACCTTGAGTGACCTCCTTTAACATTTGGGTCATGAGCCTTGTTTGTTTGGGGGTTTTGTTTGTTCCTTGTCTAGTTACCTGTGTACACCCTATGGAAAAGCAAAAAGCAATTTGAAGATGACAATATTCACAAACCCATCAATGGCTCCTACCTTCCCACCCTCTGCAGTGGTTGCCCTGCTCTTATTTTATTTTCTTGGAAACTCCTCTCTGTTCTGTTTTTAATTAATACCTATTGGAGCGTGTAATGAACATGGCACTACAGGCCTGTTTCATGTACTGCACGACAGCAAACCTGGGTCTGTGCACATAAAAAAACCGATGCTCTTAAATCTGGAGACGTTGCAAATGAAAACCCTGGCGTATCAAAAAAGATATCTGCAACTGGCTTCTTTAAGGTGGATGTGGTGGGAGGAAATACTTGAAATTAAATAATGCCAGTTGTTTTCAGACTAATCTGCCTCATTTTCTCCCCCCTCCCAATCCGTCCCACAAATGGTTGCCTTATCAGATATATATAACAACAGTCCACTGGATGATATCAGCTTTTTAAAAAAATGCAGCGCAAAACTTATTTGTCCATGAAAGCCAATGACTGATTGTTCCCTGCCTCCCATTAGACTCTGTGTTGCACCTGCTGATTTTCAGGGTTCACCAGACATTTTCAAATTTGTGAAACTCTCGTGAGCACCGCACTCCTGTGTAATGTAACCATGCCCCTCCTGTAACCTATTCTACTGGCTCCTGTAAAATGCTTCCTTCAAGACTTCAGTGGAGGCAAGCAGAGCAGCTCCTGGGAAGGCCTGCGGGTGCCACGTTGGTGACCCCTGTTTGAAGTTTTCATCCTGTTTCTGATGGCTCTTGTTTTTCTCTGTAATAGATATTCTGAAAAGGCTTCACTTAGGGGGGAAGCTAAGATACATTTCATTCAAAGATGCGGAAGGGCACCAGACACCCCTCCTGCAGCTTGGTGAAATGTCCGTACCATAGCTGCATGCCTGGAAAACTAGTGCTTGTTGTCTGTTCCCTCTGAACCAAGGAATGGATCATCCACCGGGCAGTTTCAGAAGTGGGCAAAATTGTGGCTGTACAGGGCTGTAATGACCTCGCCTTCAAAGCAAAGAAGCACAGTGACTCAGAGTTGATGAGGGCTTATTGCTTGCCTCAATTTTCCTTCAATGTAGCATTCAGCAGTGTGACACAGAGGGCTCAGGGAAAGCTTGTTGACACGGTGCCCTTCTGGCTAGATTGGTATCCCTTGTCCAGCTCACTGCTTCTTGAGCAGGACACCTGTAATCATTTCCTCCTGACATTTTGGAAAATGGAGAACGCTATCCCCTAAGCAATCCTGCTGCCCCAGTCTGTTTCATACCAGTAGCACTGCGCCTGCCGACAATGTAGCACTCTTCTAGCTATGTTTGCACATCACATGCTTGGTCCACACCAAGTAGCTTTCCACCTTTTGGATTATCCAATCAGTTACAGGCTGAGTACTCTTCCCCCTGAGCCACCTCCTGCATCCCAGTCAAGTTTGGCTGTGGTGAAGAGTTTGGTTGAAATGCTACACACGTTAGCTGTGTACTGAGTTCATGAGCATTTCCTGCGAAAACAGAGATGGAGAACCTTCGGCCCTCCAGATGTTGGTGGGCTACCATCACCCTTGATCATTGGCTGTGCTGGGCTTGATGGGAGCTGGAATCCAATGATGTGTGGATTGCCCAAGGTTCCCCAACCTGTGCTAAAAGGTTCTCGAATGAATTGTGATGTCAGTCAGAGTCCCCAAAAAGGCCTAGGGAAGATCCCTGGAAGTCTGGTTGGAGGAGGAGGGCTGTTCCCCTGAGCTGGAAGTATTCCTTAATGGAAGCATTGGTGGGGAGATGTGACGCCATGGACTCTCCATTGACTCATGCCCTAAAGAGCAGGTGGTGATGACCTCAAGATTCTCCCAGGCCCACAAACAGCCCCTAAGCAGAGACTGAAGAGCTTTCAGTGACAGTGGATTGAGGTAGTTGAGTAGGGGGAGGCCAAAATGCTTCTCTGCCCCCAAAGTGGGCAACCTCAAGCAGATCCGATCTGTTTCTCCTTAACGCAAGCTTGCATTTAGTACAAACGACAACAACGTTATCGTTCACAAACCTGCACCAGTGTTTGGACTTGCCCAAAGACTAATGGAAAGGTTACCTAACTGCAGGTACTCTTTAAACTGATCAGTAACTATGAGTTGACTCAGTCACATAAGAAGTGGAGGCAGGTTCTAGCCACAAAGGCTAGCTGGAGTGGATTGAGTTAGGCTAGCTGGAGTGCAGTTGAGTTAAAATAAATTGCACCTTTAGCAGATAAAGGGTTTTCTTCAGAACCTTAGAGCACGTTGCACCACCAAGGCTTGTGGAAGTTATGTGAGACCCAGTGAAATTCCGTGCAGGTTTACTTGGAAATATACCGCCGTTCTCACTGCTGCTTACTCAATAATGACAGAGGGTTGCAGCTTTTGGCTCATGCAAGCAATGGCAAGTGACTATGTGAAAGTGCTTCATAGGAAATAGGGGCAGGGGCTCTCTATATAGCTTGCCACTTGCAAGAGTGGCGTTGTACGTGTCACTTTGCACGTAGTGTCCAGTTGTGACACATGTTTTGCAATTGGGAATTTTGCCTTAAAAAACAAACAAGCCTGCTCTTTGTCCCCTGTTTCACCTAAAATTCAAGCTATTTTATCTGGACCCGTTTAAGAAAACCAATTTTAGCTGTTGCTCACCTTTTCTTCAAACATTATGGAATTTTAATACGTGCAAGGGAGTTGAGAGTTTTATGTTTGTCGCTTCCTCTGTTAGTATTGCAACCATTTTAATGAATATGGCATTCAGTAGTTTGACCTGCTAGCTGCCGACATCCTTACGACTTCTGCAGATGAGTAGGGTAAACACTCGGCATGCAGACATAAACAGAAATAATAGTAGATATTATTCGTCCCCACCAAAATGAAGATTGCATTTAAGATCCGTTTGCTTACAAAATGCTCCTTTGTCTCTACCGCGGTGCAACTAGTAGGTGTCACATTGTGGAAACACCAGGTAGCTTTGTAAAATAACACATTCTGAATCGTACATTCACATCACTGCTGTTGCAGTCATCCCTGGGATATGCCGTTCACTGCATCACAGCTGATAAGTAGTTTTGCTGCTCCCGGTGACGTTCGCAGTGAATTAGTTTACACCTGCAGATGTTCCAACATCAGTCATGGCCAGCGTTATACGTAGATGGCCGCAGTAACATGAGGTTTCCTGTGCTCATTGGTTAAATATGTATACTGTACCAAATGTTTTTGTGTGTTCTGACTCCATCATGCTAACTATTTTCTCTTTTTTAATTATTATTTCTTAACTTAAAACTGACTCCACCAGTAACTTGACAAATAAAATGTAAACAACCCAGCTTGATATGGGTGCCCAAACGTTTTGCATCCGGATTTTTTTGTACACATGATTCATTTATGGCGTGCCCACTTCCAAAGGTTTGGAGCTGGGGTAGGCAGAAGGTAGATTGGGATTTACTGGTAGGTCTCTGGGTGGTTGACAAGTGGATCAGCAAGGCTTTCTGACAGCCAGGTAGTGACAGTGAGGCTGGGAGCATGGCATTATTTCAACCGAAGGAATGTCTTGGAGCTAAATGGCAGTCCCACAAGCAACACATTGCGGTAATCTAACCCTCATGTAACAGGAGCATGAATAACTCTAGCCGGGCAATCTCAGGGCAGGAGAGGCCACAACAATTGTTTTTCCTACAATTCTAAACAAGATGACATTCTAAATGCATATTTTGTGATAATTAAAAAAAAAAAAGATTCTTGCAACATATAACAATATCATACATAAAATATCCCACTCTAACCCAGAAGATGGAGTTTAGGCAACACATCCAAAATAACGTAAGTTCCTACCCTGCAGCTCATGCTAACCTAAAAGTTTTAGAATGCGAGGGGAATCCTTTATTTTTATTTTTAGTCATAATAAACCTGCACCAGTCGGTTGCAAATGAGCCTTTATGCTTCATACATTGTGCTAACTTTATTTTATTAGTCGTTTTCCCCCACAAGCATTATTCGCCCTAATTTATTACACCGGTTTGTTCAAAGAAGCTCCCCCCCCCCCTTTTCTTCCCATATCTCATAATGAGCCAGGCTGCCAGCGTGGTGTAGTGGTTAAGAGTGGTGGACTCGTAATCTGGTGAACTGGGTTTGCGTCTCCACTCTTCCACATGCAGCTGCTGGGTGACCTTGGGCTAGTCACACTTCTTTGAAGTCTCTCAGCCCCACTCACCTCACAGAGTGTTTGTTGTGGGGGAGGAAGGGAAAGGAGAAAGTTAGCCGCTTTGAGACTCCTTCGGGTAGTGATAAAGCGGGATATCAAATCCAAACTCCTTCTTCTTCTGCCACTAAGAGAGACCTTACTAGGGATTTGCACTCGGGGTGTTATCTCCTGTGAAAGGATTCAGCAGCGCCAACTCTGGATATCTGAAAGTGTTTTGTCCAGTAACTGCTTTTATTTCAACAAATAACTTTCCCCACATAGTTTTGTCGGTACATTTTTTAATCATTGCTGAAAAGATCTGGCAGAATGGCCTGCCAAACTGACACAGGTTGGAAATGGGCAAATCTGTCTGTTCCTACTGTATAATAGCCAAATCAGAAGAGGGCACCTCAGATAATCAGCATCCTTCAAGCTTGCAGTCAGCACCAGTAGCTCCCCACACAGCAATCCAAACACAGCTAGCCTGAAGCAATAAAGGGGAAATTATATAAATGACTTGATGACTGGCTGTAGACAGCTCTTTTCAACTTTGTGTTATTAATTTCATGCTTTCTCAAGCCTTATCTAAAAAAAATAAAGGCAGCAATAAATACAGTAATTATTTAATATTAGCAAGCCCTGACATTTACTAGGGGGATTACTTCGATGATGTACATAGATACTGAAGCTTCTGCTTTAATAAAAAGGGGGAGGGAGAAGGCTGCTGTTTGATTATCTGTTAATTTATGTTCCAAAGCTTAGCTGGGAAAATACTACGAAATTCAGACCGCAACAAAACCATCCGTTGATAGAAGCCTTCGTAAAATTGGAACAAATTAGGTTTAAATTGAGTCTGGAACTATTTCAATTTCAAGGACTGGCTGGATTCAGAGGAGTGGTGAGAGGCGCCAGCTAGGGAGCCCCCAAGGGAAGAAGGCTCAGAGCCAAGGGATTGGTGGACAACCACGAATAGGAGGAGGAGGTGTTGGAAGTTGAACAAATAACTGGGTTTAGTGAGTGGGCAGGGTCTGTGGTAGAGAGAAGCCCGGAATCAGAGACAGAAGCAGAGGCTGGTGAGGAGGGAGGGACAAGAGGCAGAGATGAGTCAGGCTGGTGAAGAGTCCTAGGTGTCTTTCCCCTCCTGCTGCAACAAGCTCCCCTTTCCTCTGGTCTCCCAGAAGCAGAAGAGTTATGAAGAGGGAGGAACAAAGGCAGGCGACACAGTCTCAGATTGCTTGGGAAGGACCTGGAGGAGGAGGACACTTAGACAACAGTGGGAAGGTGGAGACCTTCAGTCCCTACCAACTGCCTCATAGGGACAATATCTATTGGGACAAGTTGCTATGCTCACTAGGCCTGGCCTGGGCTGACTGTGTTTCCTTGAATAAAGAGTTAACTTCACTGATGTTGTGTGATTTATTGCCAACCTGCTCCTGACTGCCATTCCTGACACTCAACAGATGGGGGTTCTGAATTTTAGGTTGCAGTCCTGTATTCAATAGGAGTTACTTTTAAGAAGATGGCATGGGATTATTCTGAGACATCAGTAAAGAAGGGATTAAGGAGTAACTGGCTTTTGTGTGAAGCAAAGTTTAAGGTAGGTTTAGAGCGTCCTGCTCAGCCAAATATTTTCAGAAAGCACCTTGATAGATTCACATCATTTTCTAAGGGAAATGTCCACACAATGTATAACATGACTGGGGGGGCCTTCCTGCGACAGGCTCCTGCTAGCAAAGTCACTACAATTAAAAGACCATGGTTTCTGTGTTGGTTGACCACAAGATGGCACCTCTCAACCAATTTAGCAACACTGTGGTGGCTGAAGCCAGTTCTGAAACGTACCCGGTTTTTTAAAGCATGAAAGTGAATAAACGGAACAGCAGCAGTCTATTTAAAAAACAAACAAGCCCCGTACTAATAATAGGCATGTCATATCTCAATTTGGCTGACAGGACAAATGATGATGTGAGCCTCGTGTTCTCTTCCTCACAAGGCCTTTGGTTACTTAGGATGCTGAGGAGGCGATTGTTTGGCTGCCGTGGTCAAAGAAGTGCATTTATTTGAGTTGGAGCAGCAACTCTTTTCCAGCTGCTCTTGCAATAGAGAACATCACCCCCAAGGACTTTGCAGGACTTAGAAAGTTGTACACCCTCATGCCATGTTGTTATTATTTTGGGAGCAGCAGGCTTCTGAAGACCACTTGGTAATTGCACTCAGAACATCACAGAAGAACTTGGTTAGCCACTGTAAGAACAGGTTGCTGGCCTATTCCAGCAAGTTGTGTCAAGATCAAGGGAAATAATAGCACCACTCTATTCTGCCTTGGTCAGACCCCACCTGAAGTTGTGCGTTTCATTTTGAGCACCACAGTTTAAGAAGGATATTGACAAGCTGGAATGTGTGCAGAGGAGGGCGACCAAGATGATCAAGGGTCTGGAAACCAAGTTGTGCGAGGAATGTTTGAGGGAGCTGGGTATGTTTGGCCTGGTAAAGAGGAGACTGAAAGGAGATATGATAGTCATCTTCAAATATACATGGAAGACACTGCAATCTTGTTTTCTCCTGCTCTGGAGGGTAGGACCCGAACCAATGGCTTCAAGTTACAAGAAAGGAGATTCCAACTAAACATCAGAAATAATTTTCAGATTGTAAGAGCTGTTGGACAGTAGAACGGCCTCCCTTGGGAGGTGGTGGATTCTACTTCCTAGGAGGTTTTTAAGCAGAGGTTAGATGGCCAGCTGTCACAGATACTTTAGTTGAGGTTCCTGCATTTCAGGGGGTTGGACTAGATGACCCTCAGGGTCCCTTCCAACACTACACTTCTATGATTCTGCTTTCCATCACTTTTAAAATTGAGTTTTTGTTGACCACATGCAACCTATCAAAACTAATAGGAAGAAGTGTCACCTCCATAAGAGCGGCCCCAAGTTAGCAAATAATAATAGTCAAGAGGGTGCCACTGGGAGGAGTGAATTGCTCCAGAACAACATGTAGGAAGCAAAAGCACTGTATTGACACCAAGATTATTGCTGCACTTCCCTTCACACCCACCATATACAAACTCAAGTTGATATAAACACTCATTTCCAGAAGTGGTGCAGTCTTCCTGCAGCCAAGATGCTGTGAGGTGTGCAACAGTGAAATGGATCAGGTTTTTTAAATAAAGAAGGAGGAAGGAAGATGAAAATGCAGCTTAAGTCCCCAGTCTAAAGTGCTTCAGCTTGGATTCAAGATGGCCGACAGATTTTCTCTCTTAATGCTGAAACCCTTTGGCCTACATCCCATGCTTTTCCCCAGGGTCTCCCAGCCTTCGGAAGCAGCTTCCTATAGGATGCAAGGGGCTTTGCCAGGAAGGGAGAAACAAGAAAGCCCCATTCCTGCTCACAGAGGTTAGCCAAGTCACTGTGTTCTTTGTCACAGTGATTAGACCAAGGCTCTCCTGGTTGGACTACAATTCTCTTCACCAGCTAGGTCTGATGGGCCACTGGTTCCCCAGCCAACATCTAGAGCAGGGTTTCCTGAACTTGGGTTTGCTGCTCATTTTGGACTACAGTTCCCATCATCCCTGACCACTGGTTCTGCTAGCTATGGATGATGGGAGTTGTAGTCCAAAAACAGCTGGGGACCCAAGTTTGGGAAACCCTGGTCTAGCTTCCCCTGCTCCATATTATACGAAAATAAAATAAGAAATGAACTGAATTTAGAATGGAATGGTTTTATTCATTTAATGAAAGCTCAAGTTGTTTCAGTCAAATATTTATGATCCACTGCCTTGAGGTTTTTAAATCAGGAGGAAAGACATAGCCCAAATAAAGTATCCAGCCTACAGGACTCCTTACTCTCTCCCCAACCATGTTATCTGAACAGAGGAGACTTTGGTAAAACTGCCTCAGGAAAACAGTTTTAACTGTCATCACCCCAACTTAAAAATTCCATTCTCTCCACCGCTCCCCTTTAGACAGAACCTTGCATAAGCCTTACGTCAGGTTGCTTGCAATGCCTTATATTCCTTGTGCCTCGTGGCTGCATCCCTTCAGATCATGAGTGTGTTTATTTCTTATTTGAAAGTTCCCTGGTGCGGAAACAATGCAACATGTGAATAGCTTATAGATCACAGAGAACTAAAAGATCCAGGAGGGTGTTTTATAACAAGTGCCCTTCTTTC